AAGGGTTAGATTATTACGACCACAGGATGATCGGTGGGGAATGTTCGGAAAGAGGCGGAACTCACTTATCTCTGCCAGCTTAGGGTCTACCGCAGAAACCGTGACCCATCATCCCTTCAGCCCACAGATAAGACACATGCATCCGATAAATTCCTACCAGCCATGTACGAGAGTATCCATGCACAAAATCCAGCACAGTCATCGAGAAGAGCCCGGACGACTTTTCCTGAAATGGGAAGCAATTAAAAACGCATGAGGGGTACGAAGAAAAAAAAAAAGTTCCAAGAGAGAATGTACTCGAACCACAACAGACGATCACAAACAATCGCATTATTGGAACCATTTCTGGAAACCACATCCTTCTTTCAAAGCGGTATCATTCAGGGGGCGAGTGCTCCGACTCGTTAGCTCTGCACAAAGGTTTTGCGGTATCATGTCAGAAACAAGAGTCGGACGTGTTGTGGATCTTTTGAATGATCTTTTCAGAAATCTAAAGGGAGAGGATGACCGACTTAAAATGCAGCTTTTTGCAAGGCCAGTGCGGGACAAGAGATTTAACTCAGATGCATGATTCTGAACCCTCTATTCATTTAGGTTTATACAGAGTCCAAAACACAGCTGCCTACGTAGGCAGCACTTTAAGGCAGTATGATTATAAGGCCTTCTAAAATCTCTTCTTTTGGTCAGAATCTAAAGCTGCATTGCAAGCACTCTCGGTGGCAGAAGACAATTGATGCAATAACGATATGAAGAGATTAAAAGTTCAATCTAATTAAAATAGATTATTTTACGCACTATTATTGTGTTATGTACTGGATCTCCTATGCTTATCATATAGCATCATATTGTAGCTCAGCACTATGCTAATGTTAAACCAATGAATCAAAATAATCAGCCCCTGTTGGTAGATGACTAAAATAAATTTGGCTCTGAAAAGCATCTTTTCCATTGAAAGCTATTCAAAGGTATCTGTGTATTCTGATCAAATATTTTTGTTTCTAACAACATAACTGAAAATGTTTGGATTCAGCAAGTTTTTTTTTATTACTGTTAATATTACTGTTTTTAATATTACTGTTTTCAACATTGATAATAATAAGAAATGTTGCTTGAGCAGCAAATCAGCATATTAGAATGATTTCTGAAGGATCATGTGACACTGAAGACTGCAGTAATGATGCTGAAAATTCAGCTTTGATCACAGAAATCAATTACATTTTACAGTATATTCACATAGAAAACAATGAATTATCATTGTAATTAACAATTAATTATCAATGTAATTAAAATTATAATAAAATAATGAAAGTTTTTATAAAAGTATTTCACAATTTGATTGTTTTTACTGTATTTTTGTTAAAATAAATGCTGCCTTTGTGAGCATAAGAGACTTCTTTCCAAAAAAAATAAAATAAAAAAATAAGAAATCTCACTAACACCAAACATTTATTGTGAATTGAAAACATGTTACATAGTAAAAATTGTTATTGTGCTTTAAAAGGGATAGTTCACCAAAACATGGAAACTCTCATAATTTACACACCCTCAAGTTGTTCCAAACCTGTATATTTGACGGTAGCCATTGACTTACTATGGAAGTCAAGTTGGTGGTAACCAACATTCTTCAAAATATCTTCTTTTGTGCTCAAAAGATGACAGAAATTCATGCAGGTTTGAAACAACTTGAGGGTGAGTAAATGATCAGATAATTTTAATTTTTGGGTGAACTATGCCTTCAAAGGTTCAGCTGCCTTTGACGTCATGGCTCAGGATAGCTGATAGTCAAGCGCTTGGTATTTTCCTGCATTTCGAGAGGGATCAGTCACATGGCAATTAAAGCTCAGCATGAGCAAAGACGGCACATTTCCGACATACTTCCGGCAGGTCCTGCATCACCCGAGCAAGAACATTTATGAAGAATGCTACCAGATAGACCTTCCTGCAACAAATGAAGCGTGATGCATTTTGTTTCATTACAATCACATTAAGATCAGGTCTAAAATTTGTGAATGTTTACTAATTTGCCTTAAAACTCCTCAACTGCATCTCAAATAATGTGCAAAATAATAGCTCCTCAATCCCTCTGCATTCTCAATGATCCAACACAGTTTCAAATGTCAAATTTCTGCAAAACTCGAAGTGGTTCAGTTCAAATAAACAGTGGAAGATGCAGACCAAATCTGCGTTGTGAATTATGGACTGATTCCGTAATCTTCAACAGTTTATTATGAGTTTTCCTCCTTTATTCTGTGTCAAAACACAATGAGAAGCTGAGTGGAGGAAACACTTTTGTCATTCAGCATAAAATGAAAAACACATGTTTGTTGCATGCAAATATTTATCTATCACGACTTTAGTCAATCTAAAATTTCAGCTCGGAAACCAGCTGCAGCTGAAGAGGGTATGTGAGGTTTCAGGTAGTTACTATGGTGAAAAACTCAACAAAAAATCCTGTTAAGTGATACTGCAGATGCAAAAGACATTTGAAAGAAAACTGCTATACTGTACGTCTCCGTCCCAGTCTTTAAGTTTTCAGTAAACACACTGGCAATTGAGAAACAAGGAGGGAATATAAAACATTCACCAAGTGAACCAAATGTCATCCGTCAGTTTTCTCCTGGCACACAGTGAAGTCTGTTCAACATCAACAGACAGCAACACGCTCTTGAACAAGTAAACTTAGCGTCTCACACTCCATTGATTCTCATGATGCTACACTCACAGCGTCTCAACCGGCTGCTTACGGCGCTGACATCTTCTGAGCGAGCGAGAGCTGCTATTTAGATCCTCTGTAGTCTCACATTTCCAGGCAGCACGGGCGATCGGCAGGTGAGACGCGGTACGAGCGGCGTGACATTTTTTGAAGTTGCTCATTCAAAAAGCAAAAGAAAACGGCAGGCGCAAATTATTCAAAATCACATTTGTAAATGGTGTGCTATTTTCTCCACAAGGACTGGTCTCAAAACCTGATTTGTTCATGAAATACACAGTGGCATGGCAGGAAAGCCTACTGCTACTTACAATACATAATACAATACATAATACTTGTGATTTAGCATTTACCCTTTAGCATGCCTACCACACTATTACTTACGACAGGAACAAATTGAGTTGAGTCACCACTTATATAAAAAAGAAAAGTCATCCAAAAAGTACATGTGACTTAAAGTTCAAGATTAAAGTGACCACATGAATTAGAAACTTCACTTGAGCTTTACTTAAAAGCCATGAAATTATATAATTTACAGTAAAACAATATGCAAGGTGAAAATGTAAGGCATACACTACGAACATTAACAAATATATATTCTTTTCATTCAAAGTAAGAGGAAAAACCACACAAAGTCAAAACTATCAAGCCATCATAGTAAATTAAATAGTACATGCTTAAGTCTAGTAGCTAGGGACAACAATTGGTTTATACGCTTATACAGTTATGGAGAGCTGATTTATTTATACTGTAAAGTAAAACGTTCATGTTTTCTCTAGAGTCTGGAATGGGTCAGATTAAACTCACTTCCAGGGAACTGCATTCTTTCAAGCCAAAGAAACAAAACAGAGCAGTCAGGTTGGATTTAAAAAGCTCGTTTCATGTTTTATGCGAGAGACAACAGTAACAACAGTCTTGAAATCAGAACAAGGCATACTTCTAAGAGCTGAATATTTCATCATGCAGATATTCTATGAAATATTGAATACATCAAATGTAGCCGGTGTTATTGAACTGTCAGTTTAAGAACATGAAAGTGAAATTATGTTCTGTATCAGCAATTGACTTATAATCTCGAGTGTCAGAAAAGGACTGAATCACATAAAAGATGCTTTCAATCTGTTCTGCATCCATATGCTAAGCATTTCTGCCTCTCTAAATGTTTTCTGAATGAGAATTATATAGTTTAGTGAATTTATGGGAAACCTTATATTATGCTTTTGAATCAATGCTGCGAAATTAATTAACGGAAGTGAAATTTTGATTTGATTTGAGTTTCTTTATTCTATAATAAAGACACTGTGGAGTGATCAGTTGCCTGGAACAACAATCCGTTATACAGTTTGTGTCATATATATATATATATATATATATATATACACACATACACAGGGGTATATATATATATATATACACACAGGGGTGCACACAAGTGGTACACGGGTGCGCATGAGCGACCAAAATAAAAAATGCAATGTGTAAATATGTTCAGATCGTTTATTTGTGTACGACATTGTTGACAGCTGTTAATGCACAATCGCTGTTTTAGGTCGACTAACTGTAATACTGTTCTGTAATACTGTTCTCAATCTGAAAGCATAAAACTAGGCTACACGCTGCCAATTTCAGACCAAAATGCAAAACTGACATTTCATTCACTCGGCAGCGATAAACCCGGCAGTGCATATACTTGTCGGCAACCCACCAAAATAAAAGCGTGCTGATTTTAGGTTTGAAAATGATCAAATTTCATTAAAAAAGATAATATTAGCATTGTATTTTTAAGTGTACTATAAAATAACTGTATTTTTATTTTATACTCAATTTATTTTTTTAAATAGTATTATCACTGATTATTTTGTTTATTATTTTATTAAAATACAAAATAAATAAATGCAATATTACTATTATCACACTGGGAGCAGATCTGGAGAAATGTAGTATTACATCACTTGCTCACTAATGGATCCTCTGCAGTGAATGGGTGCCGTCAGAATGAGACTCCAAACATAGTGTTTTTATGAACTCTGGACTCATGTTTTAGCCGAAAACAATGGTTTAAAGTTAAAAACATCTTGATGACGAATTTGTTTCTTAGAAACATGCAGCTTTTGGCTTCACAAGACATTAACTGAATGACTGGAGTGGTGTGGATTATTGTGATGTTTTTATCAGCTGTTTGGACTCTCATTCTGACGGCACCCATTCACTGCAGAGGATCCACTGGTGAGCAAGTGATGTAATGCTACATTTCTCCAAATCTGTACAAATATAGTAAATGTTGTATTACCTGTGAAGACAGAAGATTGCAGTCTATATGAAGGCCTCGTCCTGTTTTCTGTCGCTGAAGCAAAGCAGCCATGACAGCTCCAAGAGTGTATAAACCAGTGGCCAGATCTGTCATTGCAACACCTGGTCTGACTGGGTCTCCATATTAAAAAAAAAAAAAAAAACAGAGGCTGTTAAATAAACAAGAAATAAATAACCTAAAATGGGGTGTAGTATTTAAGATAAAGTGTGTAACTGTTTTAGAAGTTAAAACCAATGGTGTGGGTTTGGGATGGTTATCTGTTTGTTCCTCCAGCCCACTAAAGCCAAACCTATGCTTCAGTTTTTACCCGTACACTAGGGTATGCATTCAGCGCACGAGACATCATTTATCATCAGCATAGTACACACATGTGAAGACAGAAGATTGCAGTCTATATGAAGGCCTCGTCCTGTTTTCTGTCGCTGAAGCAAAGCAGCCATGACAGCTCCAAGAGTGTATAAACCAGTGGCCAGATCTGTCATTGCAACACCTGGTCTGACTGGGTCTCCATATTAAAAAAAAAAAAAAAAACAGAGGCTGTTAAATAAACAAGAAATAAATAACCTAAAATGGGGTGTAGTATTTAAGATAAAGTGTGTAACTGTTTTAGAAGTTAAAACCAATGGTGTGGGTTTGGGATGGTTATCTGTTTGTTCCTCCAATATTTGACCACTTGTTGATGCTAGAAATGACACACTTCACGTTTAGCACATCAGATCATTGGCCTCACCTCAGGACCAGTGATGTGCATCATACCAGACACCGCAGACGCAATGGAGTCATATCCAGGCTTGTGTGACTCGGGGCCCGTCTGTCCATATCCTGAACAAATTAACAGACGTGGTTACTGATTATGTGTGTGGATGATTATCAGATGAAAATGTGCTTCCAGCTCACAGTTTCGTGTAATACGTGCATGTCAGAGCTACAATCTCCAGCATATTCTGCTTTGCCAGTATGGCTTGATTTGGGCCTGTGTGCGGCTCTTAGAAATCTTCACAGCTCAGCACACACGTCTGGAGAGAATGTGGGCAAAGACCCGATTACATTTCTATTATCATCAGAGCAATCAGATTAATTTGATTCTAGGAACTCCACCGTGGTTCTAAGACTTTGACTCACTGGAGGTAAACATCTATGGATGTGTTTATTTCCTTGGCAGAGGTATGGGCAGCTTAAGTAAAATCTGTCATGCCCTAGTATGAAAACAGCAGTCTACTAGGCAGAGTTTGTGCAAGTATATTTCACAAAGCAGTATCACTTCATAACATTTTTCTTCTCCAGCGTCTCCTCGTCCCTCGTGTGTGTGCAACGTCACAGAAGAGCGGACGTAACAGTAAGCGGCATCCCTTCCCCGTGTTTGATTTCCGGCAAATAAAGTACTGTCAACATATTCTCCAGCGTCTCCTCGTCCCTCGTGTGTGTGCAACGTGACACTTTCTATGATGCATGTGTCAAGCGGCTACGTTTGCACACACTATCAAGCTAAGTTTGAATGGCTATGCATTCAGTTGTATGCATACGCTAAGCGCTTGTGTCAAAACTAAAGTAACTTTGTGCTCTGGCTGCCACTGAACACCGCTCACATTCACTCATACTTCTAAAAAAAAAGTAAAAATGTAGTTATATTAGATGCATGTCTATAAATTGTGGTTCCAAAAGAAATAGGCTAGATAGCATTGTAAAGACTGAAAAAAGTTACAGAGTAGAGTTGTCTTTAGAATTCGCACCAGACAAACATGCAGTTTGTTGCAAAAATACAAACTGTAATGACATTCATATACTTTATTGCAGCTAAAATGATTTATTTTGTCTCTACCATCACAGTACACAACTTCACTTGTAATACCCTTTTTATAGCACACTATATTCATAAGATCTCTTTTACTACTGTGATGCGACAACCAATAAGAACCACCACAAAAAGGGGTGCAAAGATATTTGGGACTCAAGTAAACAAAGAACAAACATCCCCTTAATCACGCCCTCAGTCGGGCCGCCATCACTGCTATAACCACACCAATATTAACACAAGTGTGAGAGCAGGAATAACCAGATTTTTTACATTTTATAAAGAAAATGTGAGTGGTGAGTGCAAAAGTTGCAGCAATAATTCTAGAGCTCTGTTGGTGTTTTTTAGCACATTGTAAATTATTTCTAGGGTGTTAAGAGTCCTAGAAACTCAAACTCTTTCAAAATATTGTTCCGTTTCATTCTGTTTGAATTCTGACCAAATCGGCACGGCAACAGCTGAAGCAATGGAGTGTTTGTAAAACTCATTTGAAAACAGTCCTTATTTTGCCATTCTGTTCGCAGAAATTACACATTTCACCTTTCAAATCAGCATGAAATTAAAATTCACCCCATTTTAAATTTTCTAAATGCACGTTATTGATCTTATTGCGAACAATTCATCCATGCATTTTTAATCAAAATATGACTCTGATCTTCCTGTGAAATAAACTTCTTTCTGGTGATGCATGCAGGACTCCATTCATTTAGCCTGCAAGCTTGCGTTCAACTGCCTCTACGCACATCTCGAAAACCAATCAACAAACAATAACCTGTTCCTAACCTTTTTCATTAATCCATTATACTCTGATGTAAGTCACAACAGAGAAGAAAATCGATACTTCCGTTTCATTGTGACTACATATCCAATTAAGTCCAGCACGATAAAAATAAAAGAAAAAAAAGAAAACCTCAGACTCAGATTAGTGATTTTAATATAATCAAGGAACAAACAAAAAACATCAGACAAACCAAAACAATTGACATTAGAAACAAAATCCCTTTAAAAAATCCCGTATAAGCACAGCTCTTGGCTTCACAAGATGTTACTTGATGGTCTGGAGTGGTGTGGATTACTTGTGGATTATTGTGATGTTTTTATCAGCTGTTTGGACTCTCATTCTGACGGCACCCATCCACTTCTGATGAAGAAACAAACTCATCTACATCTTGGATGAAGGTACATTCATTTTGGGTGAACTATTCCTTTAACCATTTATCACCATTTTACCAATAAATTATGAATCCAAAATTAAGAAAAAATTATAATAATCCTCATAGTAAACTTTCAGACCACTTTCTGTTGCCCAAATATTATATATACATTATTATACAGTAATTTGTATTGTAGCTATTATTATACCAGTTTAGAGAACTGGTTTCTAAGAGAATCTATGACAGCAGCATGAACTAGTAGTAATGCTGTATCCATTCATCAGACAGCCCAGGATTCTCCACTGCCAGCAATGTGAAAAGCATCCAATGCCAAACCTCAGCACATTTGGGTGTGGGGGCCCATCTAATGAAGGACATATGCTGAAAATAACTCGCGTTCTCAGACGCCACTTAATCGGCTGTAAAGAAATGAAACCCCAATAATAAAAAGAAACAGGGAGCTTTGTCGCTTCTGTGGACGCCGAGCACCATGGAGACCTCAACCATCTCCAGAGGAACAGGAGTCTGTGGTTCTTGTTCTCCGTACTCATCAGTGTACTTAGCGAGCCTGATTATTCCACATTAACCAGACGAGACAGTGCGTGTCTCGCCCTAAAACGCTCATTCCATATCTGCATGGACCGTAACAGACATGATGTACTCCTGATAAAAACAGTGTGAAATCAAAACCTCCTTTTTATAGTAGGAACATGGAAAACAGAAGAAATCTGAAGGGTATTCCGGTGTTTTTGTTTCGCTGGCATGTCAAGCAATGCGTTTGTCATTTTGTTGAATATATGATCCTCTTATAGACATTATGGCTCAACGGTAGGGTTGGGTACCGGACTCGGTACTTTTAAGGGTACCGACCGAATTGCGTCGGTACTACCGAGTACCGATTCTCGTTAAATCAATCGGTGCCAAATTTCTGTACCTGAGAACGCATCTGGGCACATACGCTACAGAGAGAGAAAGAGAGACCCTGTGACGTGATATCACCCCTGCAACTCGTTCAAACAACACACAGGGCAAGCCGAAATGTTCTGAAGTGTGGTTACATTTCTAGGGCCATATGGTTTCTGCGAAAATGCAGACGGGATCGTGGAGTCCATTCATAAAAACGTAATTTACTCTATAGCGCGGAATGCCACGGAATTCGTCAATTTTGTACGAATAAATCAAAAGTAGCCACTGCCACTTAATTCAAATCGCGATATGAACTAGTGTCTGTGAATATTAAAATGCAAAAAGACGGTTTAAATATTAATCCTGCATGTTCCGCATGGTTTCTGCGAAAACGCGGATGGGATTGTGGAGTCCATTCATAAAAACGTAATTACTCTATAGCACGGAATGCCATGGAATTCATAAATTTTGGACGAATAAATCAAAAGTAGGTCTGCCACTTAATTCGAATCGTGATATGAACTAGTGTCTGTGAATATTACAATGCAAAAAGACGGTTTAAATATGAATCCTGCATGTTCCACTTGCTTCTGTATGTATGAATGGCGGAAACGTGGTTTTGTTTACTACACAAATACTGAAGCACGCGTGACGCTCGCGGTGATTTTCGGCCTCTGCGTCTCACTATATGACGGTATGAACACAAAAACTTAATCTCCAGAGCTGCTGTGAGAGTCACTTCACGAGAATTTTACCGTTTCATTTGAGAAAACTAGCATCATCATATTGTATATACACAGAAACTTCATGGCAACCTGTCAAAATAAAAGTACGGTTTAACGTGTAACAGAAATATATTACTCTTGTAATACTTTTGTACAGTATAATGTACATCTTTAAATATTCCATTTTCTATCAAATTTTAATAAAACAATTAAATGATAAAAATAAATATTACAACCAGATTAATCACTTGTAGAAAAAAATAATACAATTATTAGCCTATTAAAAAATGTTTTAAAGGAATATTCACACAAATTTTCTTCCATGTATTAATTTCAACAGTAAACCTCAGTTTGTTTGCCAAAAAATAAAAGGGTTTAATTTTCATTTGATTTAAAATAAACGTTTAATGCCTTCATTTGATTTTCAGAAAAATTAAAACAAGAATTTCTGGGGGGAAAAAAATAAAAGAAATAAAGAAAAAGTTTGTAGGGCCCTATTGTTCAAAATGTTGAAATTGAGACTTTTGGACTTATTTTTTCACTGAAATAAATGTTTTCTTAATTACAGAGTAAAGTACCGAAAAAAGGTATCATTGGGTACCGGCACCGAAATCCAAGTACCGATACCGGTACCGTACCGGTTCAAATGTGAACGGTACCCAACCCTACTCAACGGAATAGTACAATAGCTATAGTGAATGAATAGGTGACTTGGCATAAAACGAGAAGTCAAAAGAAAAAATCCAATGACTAAACGATGAGGTAAACGGATTATAATAATAATAAAGTGTGTACTAGACAAAACCACAAATGGTAATATTTTTGACAAAAGGAAGAGTATTTCAAGCATACAATGAGCACTTTATCCCTACAGGAAGAAGAAAAAAACAGACAAAGATTTGATGCTCTTGGGCCAAATTTGGTCATGGTTACGCCAGCTATGGCAAATCCCATGGTTCCTGAAAACACTGATGTCAACATCTGATTAATCTCCCATGTGTGGGACCTCTTTTTTTGGAACACAAGGCAAATTATTCCTCGTATCAAAGATGCTTCTAGTCTGCCAAGTCATGGTTTTAAGCCTCCTTGGGGATTTGCACAAGCAATCACAATATATAGGTTACGCAGTGCCGTTTCCTGACAAAATTGGGCCAAAATAAATTTTAAAAATCGGTCACTCCCAAATTGCTACTGGACCACAATTTTGCCCCCTCAGGACTGAAGCAATAAACCAAAGGATGTCAA